TCGCACAACGTTCAAGACGCGACAGGTCGTCCGAGATCTGTCCCTGCTTCGCACTATTCTGCATGCCCTTCTTACCTATGATGCGGTGAACTTCAACAAGTACCTCGATACCGTGCTTGCAGCCTCGCAGCCGCCGCCAGGCTCAACAAAGCAGAACCAATCTCCATGGTTGTTCCTAGACGCGGCCGATACCATCTTTACCACTGCCAAGCGAAGAGTATATACGGGCAAGGTATCTAACGCGGAACTAGCGAATGCCTCCAATGCTGTGCCAGAGTCTCTGCAGCCTGTCCTAGAGGAATTTCCCAAGTGGACCCAGCTCGCAGAAATTCTCCAAGAGATAGAGCAAGATGCCTACTTCAACCCAACACCGCAAGACTCGTCCAACGGCTCTATACTCATCATGTGCGGCGACCAAGGTACAGCGTCACAGCTAAGAGAGTATCTGCAGACCATGTACGTCAAGCCAGAGGGCGTTGCAGACGAGGAAGAAGACGAGTTCGAGCCATCGGCGAACTTCATGATGCGACGCAAGCTACGGAGCTATCTCACATGGAAACGCGACTTCAGCAAGGTCAGCGCTGCGTTGTTCTCAGAGAATCAGAAAGCCATCAACACCAGCACAGACAAGAATGTTCAGAGCGGTATGCGTCAGGTTTCCGGTAAACCTCCGCCTAACAAGCGGCGTCGTATCAGAGGAGGCGGAAATGCAGCAGCAGGACCCTCGCGGTCTGATACAGGAGCCGTTCGGACAGCAGGAGACCGCGACGCCCACATTGCAAGTCTAATGGCCGAACTGGAACCCACCGAGATCGAAGCCGCGCAAAAGCCTGGCGACGTAGGTTTCGACCCTCTTGACAACATGGAAAGCTTCTACGAGCTCTTCGATATGAACTCCCTGATAATCGTACACCCCTACTCTGGAGACTTGGACGAACACATCCTCGACGAGACAAAGCCGCGATACGTCATCATGTACGAGCCCGACGCAGCGTTCATCCGGCGGATAGAAGTATACCGATCATCCCATACCGACCGAACAGTAAAAGTATTCTTCATGTACTACGGCGGCAGCGTAGAAGAACAACGATACCTCTCCGCCGTGCGCCGCGAAAAAGACGCCTTCACCCGCCTCATCAAAGAGCGCGCAAACATGGCCCTAACCATGAACTCCACCGCCAACCTCGCGACCGAAGAATCCTTCCTCCGCACAATCAACACACGTATCGCCGGCGGCGGCCGCCTAGCCGCCACCACCGAACCCCCGCGCGTCGTCGTCGACGTCCGAGAATTCCGGTCCTCGCTGCCCTCGCTCCTCCACGGCCGGTCCATCGTAATAGTCCCCTGCATGCTCACCGTCGGCGACTACGTCCTCACCCCCCAAATCTGCATCGAGCGAAAATCCATCCGCGACCTAATCCAATCCTTCGCCAACGGCCGCCTCTTCAACCAAGTCGAATCCATGATGGAACACTACAAACACCCCATGCTGCTCATTGAATTCGACCAAAACAAGTCCTTCACCTTAGAGCCCTTCACCGACTACTCAGCCGGCAGCAGCAGTAGTTCCTCTGCAAACGGCCCCGCAACAACACCCGACCTCCAATCCAAACTCGTCATGCTTACCCTCGCTTTCCCGCGGCTGAGAATCATCTGGAGTAGCAGTCCGTACCAGACGGCTGAGATCTTCTCGGAGCTCAAGAAACAGCAGGATGAGCCTGATCCGATGAAAGCCGTGCAGTTGGGGCTTGATCCGAATCAGAGTGGGGATGAGATGCGCAGCTTTAATCAGACGAGTCAGGATATGTTGAGGGCGCTGCCGGGGGTGAATGAGAATGTGGTTTCGACGTTGATGCTGAAGAGCGAGAGTGTGTTTGAGGTGGCGAATATGTCGGAGAGGGAGATTTGTTGGTTGGTGGGCACGGATGTGGGGAGGAGGGTGCATAGGCTTTTTAATCGCAGTGTGTATGAGGAGGTGCAGTGGCAGGGGTTTAGTTAGGGGTTGGTATGTTAGATGGTGATGTGAGGATGTTAGTATGTGAAGGAACAAAGATCTCGGACGTTAGAGTATTAGACGAAGATTATGCGTGTATCATTTCTCTATCCCATCATGCTTTCACGAAAAGTTCAAAAGCATGTAACATAAAACCATGCCGAATAACCTCATGATCATGATCATCCATACGGAACCATGTATCCCTCAACATCCCTCGTCAACCATCCGCCCGCTCGCAAGAAGCAGCATTTGAGCAGCCCGGCCCCCGCCACAGCAAAGCAGCAGCCGCAAAGCAGGAGCCGAGACAGCATGGCGGATCTGCGCAGCCTCCCCCTCAAATGTCGTCAATATCAATCTCCTTCTTGCCAGTACCGTCGGCCTCGTCCGAATCGCTGTCGTCGCGGTCCTCGTCGAACTCGAAACCGATGCCCTCGTCGCCCTGGTCGCCGTACGTGTCTGTCTCGTTGATCTTTGCGTTTTCGGGGAGTTCGCCGTAGGCTTTTAATGAGCGGGCTTCGTCGGCTGTATCAAAGTCAATACACTGTGTCTAAGACAGGTACAGGTCGTTGAGGGTAAAGAATGTAAACTTACCAGAATACTTCATAATAACATCACCCTTCTCATCCTGGTAGTCTCGCAGCGACAGCAGGATAATGTCGCCCTGGTTGATCCAGACCTTCTTCCTCAGCTTGCCGCGGATATGGGCGAGACGGCGGGCGCCGTCGAAGCACTGGGCTTCCAGACGACCGTTTCCGAGCATCTTGACGACTTGGGCGTATTCTTGACCTTCTTCTTTGAAGACGAGTTCGCGCTTTTCGTTGTCGTTCTCGTTCTTACCCCTACGTCGGTTTTTACCTCCCTGGTAGTCATGTTAGCAGGTGCATCGTGGCATGTGAGAGGAAGCGCCGCATCGCCCAGACATGGAAAGCGCCGGTTTGGGCGTCAGGCGCTGGGAGAAGTGGCGGGGCAGCCCCTCCAAAAGAGCGCTGAACATACCTTTCCCTTGTTCTTCGGCATGGTGGGCGGTAGTCGAAGTTGTTGTGGGTGTGGGTGGGGTTGTGTTTGGTGTTGGTGGCAGAAGCGTCGGCGGGCGCAAGTCTTTATGTAGTGGCGGCTCGACGGTTGTTTGCACTGTGGATTCCGACTCACTGTGGGAGCCTTCGACACTGCGCGCTAAGCCTACGTTGAGCCTAGCGCCCCGTCGCTCACCCGGCCGAAAATCAATCCATCCGTGGTCCTCGAGCCTTTTCACCCCCACCCGCTGCTCCTTCACCCTACGTCACCGTGCATACACACGAGAGGCATGGGACAGCCATGTCAAAGAATGCCGTCTATTCGCTCCTCGCCAGACAGCAGCCGCGCACGTTCAAAGTCAGCTATGCCACCGACTACAAGCACTTCATCCTCAACCACGTCGCGTCCGATCCCCAGCACCCCCTCTTCGAGACGCAGCGCCGCAGACAGAGAGACAAGAAGAGGGAGGGACTGTGGTGGCATGCGACCACCCCCGCTGACCTGAACAAGTCCAGCTGTGTAAGAACATGGGCTAGACGGCGTCTGCGCAACGCGATCAAAGAAGAGCTCCACGCCCGCGGATACGACGAGAATGGCAAGTTTGTCTATCCTGAGATCCGGAAGAGCGAGCCAGGTCTTCTGAATACGCTGCGCGCGGGCAACACACTGGATTTGAAGGGCAGCTTGAGGTTTCATGTCGAGCCTCCTCTGGTTCCGGCCAAGTATGTAGATGTACGCGCAGAGGCTGGCGCTGTCATAGAGGCTCTGATCAATGCTCAGAGGGGCGCAGTTGGGGGTTTCGCTTCAGCGAAGCCAACGAAGGCTCGTTCATCGTGGAATCCACCTGCTGCTGCGCAAGAACGTCCACGTCAGATCTTCAAACGCGTGGCGACGCGCACGGGGTGATTGTGGCTTCACAGGCTGAATGAGCTCGTAGAGACCTGCTGAGCTGCATTATCGCTGAAGGCGAAGGGCCTATCATGCTGTCGCCGGCCAGCGATGCCCTGGCGTATGTAGTAATATATTGCTCCCCAAGCGTCACAACAGACCCGCCATATCATCGGCGTTCGTGGATCAGAATGAAGAGAAAATGAACCTTCACTTGGAAGCACTGCGCGCAGACACATACAACGTAACGATTCCATACACGCGCCCCTGACCAGCCTCATGTCATCATGTCATCATCTCGCTCCTTACCCACCTGTTATTGTAACAGCTTCGGTACAAACTTCCGCACCCAAACTTGCGATCCACATGCTCGCTTTCTCTAATTGGTAAGGGAGCTTTCTCGGCCCCAGCCGTGGTTCTTACCTCCAGCATCATGGTTGGGTGGAGGTAAACACCGCTTTTTTACAGTCATCTACAGGTCTGCCTTGTGTTTACTAAGTAAGGTAATTGTTTTGGAATGCTGGGTATGGTCTTGCCGATATGAGTATGTGAGAGTAGATGCTGTGGATTGTTGCGGAATTTGCACCGGGCCAATGGGAGGTTGATGTTGTAGGTGTAGTTCGAGTGAAGGTGTTGTTGTGTTGGAAGGGTGGTTTGGATGAGGCATGATCAGCTTTCTTCCCTTGGATGTGGTGCATCAGGACTGTCGCCAATAATAAGATGACTAGACATAGCACGAAGTAGAAATAGCCAAGACAATCGCAACAGAGTATTACACGTTAACAATTCCAGGTTCAGAGTTCGCGAAGTTCTATGCAGTACGCGTCCTGACCAATCAGCCGACTTCGGAACTAAATCCGGGTTGAGGTCCGCTCGGAACGGATTGGACGGTCGACTCGCTGACCCACCCTCAATGACAGCACATCCGTCGTACATCTACATAGGCAAGTCTTTCATACAACACAACAACATTGCATATCTGCATCCAACATTGGCCTGAGATAAGCTCTCATAGTCAAGTTCAAAGACATCCGTCGAACAACCTGTAATCACCAGCATCTCAACGTTCACGAAGAGTCATCACCACCACAAGCGGCTCATCATGGCATCAGAAGACGAGTTCCAGCTCTTCACATCCCTGAGATACGATCCACTACTGCTCCAATCCGAGGAAAACTCCAGAGCCATCTTGAACTTCGTCACGCCGTCACCCTTCTACATGCTCGCATACCACCGAGACCGGATGGTGGAAGCCGCACAGCACTTTGACTTTTTCGAAGTCGAGAAAAGACTGGAAGATGGGAAGACTTTGCATGAGGAACTCTTGAAGCGAGTGCAAGACGAGATCAAGAAAACCGGAAAAGATGAAGCAATGAAGGTACGACCTGCGTTAAACCATCTCTACACATTACTAAGAACAACCCAGCTCCGACTCCTATTCGACAAAGCCGCCAATCTAACCGTGGAATTCACCCCAATACCAGCCGTCCCCCTATCAACCCTCTACCCCCCATCTCTAAACCCACCATCCCCATCCCCACCCCACCATCCCGCCAACCCCAACACCACCACCAACACCACACAACCATTCACGCCCTCTCCCCTAACAGGCGGCGCCCTACACCTCGGTCCCACAGACAGCCTCCCAGCCGGCGATTCCTCCCAATCATCTCGATCCTCCCAACCCCCTCCACCCCCCGAATGGAAAATTCGCTTAGACACAGCGCCCACCCCCTCCTCCCCCTTCACCCTCCTCAAAACCACAAAGCGCGAAATGTACGACCAAAGCCGTCTCCGCGCCTTACCCCCCAACCCCGCTGGTCCTGCTTACCGCGAAGTCATGCTCTACAACGAAGTCCGCGAGTTAACCGAAGGCACACTAACCTCCCTCTATCTCTTCCGCGGGGGACGGTGGGTTACGCCGCCTGTAGGCGTGCCGTCAAGCGAATTTTCGAGTAAGACGCTGAGGGATGATGGGGCGGATGAGGGGGAGTTGAGGAAGCCGTTTGCGGGGAGGTGGGGGCATAGTACGAGGAGTGCAAAAGTGGGGGCTGGGGGGCAGAGGGTGACGAGTAGGAGGTGGGCGCTGGGCAGTGGGTTTTGTATGGAGGAGCCGGTGGGGATTGAGACTGTGGAGGTGGGGGAGGGGGTGTGGGTTAGTAATGGGGTTAGGGGGTTTGGGTTTGGGAGGGTTGTTGGGTAGGTGTTGGTGTTCTGGATTTTGTGGGTGGATCTGAGGGGTGTGCTCGCAGGGATTCTGTTTGTGCGCTTTGAGGGTTGGATGTTTTGTAGCGGTGGGTGTGGTTAGAAAGATGTGGGAGTGGTTGGAAAGAGGTGGGAGTAGTTGAAAAGATGTGGGTGTAGTTGAAGAAATGGAGGGGTAGTTAGAAAGATGTGGGGTTAGCTACTATGCATGTTGCGCTTTGGGTATAACCCCTTGACTGTGTTACAATACTGCGTTAACTAGACCGCGTTGTGGGCTCTGCTTAGGCATCGACTCCAGTCTCTCCTCAAGAGTATGATGCGCTTTGCTATCTCACTGTTTGACGTCGTCTTCACTGCTCATGCCATCCTCGCCACCTTCAGCCACGTCCTGGGTATCTTCTGCCAAGCCTGGGGTTAGTCGGAGCCTGAGGGTCTGCTTCGGTTGCCTCTGCTCTGGCACGACCTGAGACTGTTGAGGGCACTTCTCGACGAAGACGATAGCGCGCGATACCAAGGCAGCTCCTTCCCAGCCCTGATACTTGCCTGGCTCTTCAGGAAAGAAGTCCCTGTTTTCGAGCAAAGCATCTTTGTACTTCTCCGCCTTGAAGGAAGGGTCGTCACAGTCTGGCAGCTCTGGTTCTGGGACGCACGTATAAAGCGCGGGACAGACGCAGATTTTGACTCGATAGTCAGCTGGATTGTCGTTGGGGCCCGGGTCGTTCCCGTCCTCGGTTTGACCTTCCATGGTGTCCTTGTCGTAAGGCGCGCCAGGTGGCGGGAAGGCGAGTTTGTGGTGTTGGCTTGACACAAGAAGCTCCAACTTCATCTCCATGGTGGACTGAAGCCACGTATCGAGCATCGGACGCAATTTCGCACTATCGAGCCAGGGAATGAAGCTGCGGCACTCCTTGATGAAGATTGCCATTTGGCTTTTGGCCTTCGTCGGTATTTGGTACTTGCGAAAGTACTCATTGCCGATCTTATCTAGGGTAGCCATGATGTCTAGTTCTCGTACACATTTGAGTCCATCTGTAGTCATTAGTTGATGAACGTATTAGTTGTGGGGGTGTTACTGACTGAGTGACGCAATCGAGTGCCACATTTCGTGCAACTTCTCTGACTTCAGCCCCTTGGTATGGAACGCTGTATTGAAGCACCATCGTAGAGCATGATTCATGAAACAGGCAATCTGGATGTTGACATCCGTAGGCATGGCCGTGGTTTTAGTGAAGCACTCAGCGAGCGTCAGGTTCCCGGTTTGTGCCACGGAGAGTCCAGTGACAGCACGCATGGCAGCCTCAAGCTTGACGGGTACCTGCTCTTCAGCGCGAAGGGATCTTGCCATGTCGTATGGCCGGCAGTCAGATGCCAACCGAGCAACATTCTGACACCAGTCGGCACGCAGAGACCCAGCATCATATTCGATCGGGTAGCCTTGAGATCTGGAGACCAGCTGAGGGCCTCTTAGAGTGTTGAGAAGGCATTGTAGCTGTCCGATATGCTTTGCCTTGGCTTCAAGAAGTTCCTCTAAGCATCGTATAGCATCTTGATGACGCGAGTTAATCGTGAGCTTCTCGGAAACGAGTGTTGCCCGCTCCAGTTCGAGATCACGGGCCGCTTGGCGCAGTGCAGCATTGTTGGGAGTCGTGAGCTTTCCGATCTGGCGGCGCAGTTCTTCGTTCTCTTTGCGTTGGGTATTGATGCCGGCCTGCTCTAGCTGTAACTGGCGTCCAGCATCCTCAAGCCTCTTCTCAAGATATGCGATGATCGGTGTGTGGATCGGGTTAATGGAATTTGAGGCCTTCGTTGTTGCTGCGACGCGTCTAGGGCTACGCGGAGCGTCGGCAGCGTTGGGGGACTCGGCTGGGGAAATAGTGCGACTAGCGCCGGCATTCGTTGGGCTCGCCTGGACTTCAGTCAGCACATACCTCTTCCGACAGCACGATAGTTACCATACACATGGCGGTGTTATCGCTCCTCGATCAACAACTTCATCGACGGGCATGCTTTCTGGTGTCTTCGCGCCATACGGCGAGCCACCCGCGGATCTTGCGGAGCTCCTCGCCACCAGAGCGTCCTGAGCCATCGACCCGTCGTCGGCCTGTACCTCTTCACTTATAGTTCCTCCCATCCGCTCCTCTTCCTCCACTATCTTCCATGGACTTGTCTTTGTACCCCGTTCGCGGCCCGCGGGTGTCTTTGGATGCCTTTTCCGTGCGCGGGTCTCGATATCATGTGAGGCAGCGCGCTTCTTCGCTCTTGTTGCACGCGCCGACTTCGATACTGTTAGCATTTATTCGAGACTGCGACTGCTCACTTGCATGCGAAATCTTACATTCGCCGCTTCTATTAGACTCGCCTCGCGCATCTTCTGCCGAACTATCGCAGTACCGGTCTCGCTGGCTGCTGCAGGACCAGGCCCTAAGAGAATCCGGCGCGTCTGTGCTGCAATCTCTCTCTCGAAGGCTGGGGAGAGATCCTGGAATGAGATGCCGTGCTCTTCAAACTGTTTGACGGGACCATACTGCTGCACACGCCATCTGATGGCCTCTCTGGTACGGTCTTTGCCCGCACGCTTGAACATCGTGGTCGTATTCGCTATGAGGCCGAGATCGTGCTGGAAGCAGTATTGCGCACATGCAAATAGTAAGGCATCATCCTGAACGGTCCAGCGGTGGCGCGCCATCGAAATTCTGCTGGTAGAAAGGAATGCACGCCGAGTCGAGCGTTCAGAAGCTAGTTGACGGTTGGGGATGTCAGAACGAATTGTGTTATGTCAGAAGCACAAGGAGAAGAGAGGTGTGTTCTGCTGCCCATCGTAGGTTTGTTGACTAAAGACACGCGTGTCTTAGAGTGTTTGCTCCCATGCCACATCGAAATACAGCCAGAGCTCCGCGCATATTGGCCGCTCCTATCTGACGTATACGTGAGACAGACCATGCGCCTAGGCGCTGCACGTAGCCGTGGCAATATTAGCGAACGATAAGCGTAGCTGCGTGCCTGCTTCGCTCCTTTTGTTCCTGTTTCTACCTGTCGTTTTCTCGGAAATTGGCGAGATAATGGCCCCCAACACTTCGGATATCTCCGATCTCGATCGTCTCTTCCTGATCATTGATTGGGGGACCACATACGGAAAGATGGGCCGCATCCATGTCCCTGCCAGGCAAGACGTCAATTTGATCAGCAAAGACCATATCGATTATCTCCACGGATATGACGAAGACATTTGTCCCAACGACAAGCACAACGATTTTGTACCGACGCATATATACTATGTCCAGGACGACGACCGATCCTGGGGCTGGAGCGTGTCCCGACTACTGAGCACGTTTCATGGGGAGATCCATCAAAATGGTGATCGCCTTGTGCGTCTCTCCAAACTGATGCTGGACGACACCGACGCGACTTTAGAGGTTCGCAACGACCTCGAAAAACAACTCGATGGCCTTATAAGAGATGGGTACATCCGCGAACGAGATGATGTCATGAGTGACTACTTCACAGAGTGGTTCAGGTTCGCAAAGGAGGAATCCTTCGATATGGGGATTGCGCGCCCCGAATTTGTTATCTCCGTCCCTAGTGACTGGGGCGTAACATCCTGTCATCGATATTATACGGCCATTGTCAAAGCGATAGTGGAGGTGTGGGACCTACAAGTACCACCCAGCATCACAACAGTATCAGAGCCTGAGGCAGCCGCTTCTTATTGTCTTTCCTTAAAGGGCACTGAGGTCGGAGTACGTCAGAATACCTTCTTATCACCGCGCTAAGCTAATCTCGCTGTAGATTGGATCCTGTGTTTCCGTCATCGATGCTGGAGGTGGTACTATCGAGATGATCACACTCAAGAAGACACGCAATGATCCAGTACGCTGGGAGCAAATTTGTCCGATGAGCAGTAAGCTTAGCACTCATCTCAGTCATAGCCCCATGATCACTAAGCCGATCTAGGTGACTCTCATGGAGGCGATTCGCTAAACCGGGTTCTCCGAGACATTGTCACAAAGAAGCTGGCATCAGAATCATATCTTGGTGAACAATATGCGGACATAACAGTGCCTGGTATTGTTGCGGGAGTGGTGCAAAAGTACGAGTCTGACATCAAACGCTCATCTAGTGATCCAACGACTAAGCCGCCAACCGGATTCAACATCCAGGGTCTCAAATCGGATCCGGCAAGAGGGCTTTTTCCTCATACCCTCAAACTCACATCGTATGTATATGGTCTTTGCTAGACCCGCCAAAGTACTGATATAGCAAAGAGATGAATGGATTCGAGTGTACAAACCTGCTCATGACGGTCTGATCAAGATCATTGACGAACAACATTCCCTCGTTGTAGCCAAGGGAGAGCGCATCGATTCTGTCGTCTGGGTCGGACAATTTTCCGACAGCAAGTCGTTTCGAGCCAAAGGAAAGCGATATATGGCCACCTGGGAACATGTCCCAGAGCATACCGACGAAAAGGAATACTCGTAAGCAAACCAGCCCTGAGTACACTTCGAAGCAAGTAGACTAAATTTTACAAGAACCTACGCAGTCACCGGTGGTGCAGGGCTCAAAGCCCTCAAAGTAAAGATGTTCCCCCCAAATCGATTCCTGCGCGCCAGCTTCGCTATCGAACGACACCTTCCCAAAGAATGGAACAGTCGAAGCACCCGTTTCTTCAAAGAACACCCCCAGCTTCGGCATTTACGTAAAGCCCGTAGCGAACCGGGTAACGATGGCAAACTCTACATATTCAACTGTCTCGAATACTTCGCGCAGAAAGGAGATGTGTTTCCACCGGGCCGCCAATACTTCTTCACGTCTACTCATTCATTCCATCTCTCAAAGCGGTGGATAGCTGAGGAGCAAATTTGGTACACGCCCCAAGGACCAAAGAAATCGTGGTATCGCTCCGATGACAAAGAAAACAAGGGCGCAAAAGTGCTGGGGACAATCCACTACGATTTGAGTGCACTCAAGCAGAGCGTCGGCGAAGAGTGTCGGGTTGGC